TTCGAACCGAATTGAAAATTTTACCGGCGAGTGTTTTTCGCAGTATTTCAAATTTATCCGAAGGCAGCGAACCCTACTTATCGGGCACGACTGTGTTGAGCCGCTCTTCTCCCATTCACCCTCTCACGCGGATGGTAGCGTTTGCCTGGAGGCCCCGTCGCTCGCTTCATTCGAGTCGTAAGCGACCACATCCTCATTGACGATTTCGGTCGCTCTGAAAATCCATCCACATACGAGGCAGCCCGAGGCAGTCGTGCTCGTTGATATATAGCCGTTAGTTGGAATTCTATGACCAAATACGTTTGTCGCGAAGCACTGATCAGAACTTTACGCATTAGTCGAGCCTTTTCTATATATACGATTTTTAAATGAAGAAATCCTAGACACTCATCTACAAAGGACGCGTCGTCCGACGGCGTTTAGAGTACGATCGTTGATATCACGGTCGGCGTGCCTCGAGAGGCAAAGTACACTCGAAGTCTATTGCATCTCCAACAAACAGCGATAACGGTCAAGCGGCTCTCCAGAAGGAAGTTACCCCGAAAACGACCGAGAGTCTGCGGATACCTTGAGCGGGCGCCTGCCAGGACGGACGCCCGTGTTAGTCTGGTTGATCCTCGAAGACCAAAGTCGGAGGAACTATGCTTGACGTGTCCGACGTGGTGGGCCGCCTGGGATGGTACCACGCCGTCCTCGGCGCCGTCACTGTGCTTCGAGCTTTTCCCACTGCATGGACGCTACTCGTGGTTCCATTCATCGTGCCTCCGGTGGAACATTGGTGTGCCATGCCGTCGCTACCATCGCTGCAGAACTGGACACAGGAGCGCTGGAAGTTGAGCGCTATACCGGTCGTGCGCAATGGAAGCGACGAACAGTCAGTCGTGCTGGATGGATGTAATGTTCATCCCTTGTTGGATGCCGAATCGGCAGTGTTTGACGAGGAGAACACAGTGAAATGTGACTCGTGGACCTACAACGAGACAGTCCCCGGAGCTTCGGCTGTTCCAGAAGTAAGTGGAACGCGGATGACACATTACCGTCTTTGCTTTCGTTGATTCTTTCTTCGCCCGTATTGGATATCCTAAAACTGCATTCAGACTGTGGGCTGTGTCACTTCGACTTCGTCAAGTGGAAGGGACTTTGTCGGCAGTAATTCTCATTTTACGAAGCGATATTCACGTGGTCGAACATATCACATATGTACCGTGGGCCTTCTCGGGGATGTACGGCTGTTGGCTTGATTTATTGAGTGCATCGTTTCAGAACTTCCAATATTAAGCAACTCTGAAAAAAAAAGAAGCTTTGTCTAGTAGTGGGAGGCGTCGAAAGCGTGTATTATATATAAGGTAGAACTATAACCACAAGAATTGATACAATTAACGCATCCCAATCACGTATTTTCTTTGGGGGACTGCGGCAATCATACTATGGAAAGGCTCACATATATAGTGCAAACCTAATTACCATAGACTACTATTTGAAAAGACTCTTCATTATACTATTTATTTGAACTAGCGAAATAAACCGTTTTGCATAAAATTGAAAGAATAAAACGCAGAGGACAGGCACAGGACAACCACTTTCTTTCATGTGCCTGTCCTCTGTGTTTTATTCTTTCAATTTTATGTATTCATGTTCAACCCGCTCGCCTTCACCAAACCGTTTTGGCGTGGTGGTTCTTTGCTGTGTTCAATTATCCCTTGTTATTGTGTAAAGAAAGTACAAACTTGGTTTCAAATACGCATATATTCGTTATGAAATATCAAGTTCATAGAAGGGCTGGAGAAGGGGTATTATCTGTCTTTCTTATAGCTATTGTGTAGACATATTTGAAAAGTATTGATAGAAACAGGCATTTGAGGGAATTTATAAATATTTGTAAATGAACACCACGCATAAAATAAAGTCGAACCCACAAACTATTTTCGTCGTTAATTGTTTTTTCGACCTGGGGTATAGGCCAAACATTACATCGCGTAACGCTACCGTAGGACATTTAAACCATGTAAATGCGTACATCGTAGGGACCGGACGCCAAACTCCTGTGTTACTTTTTTAAACTAGATCATATGATAGGTGTCAAATAGTTATCGTTGCCTCAGTTATTTTTTTTCAATTGACATATCAACGCGCAAAAAATTAAAAAAAAAATATCGATTAAAACGTTTCAAATTTTAATTTTTATTTTCAATATAGCCCCTCGAAGCTTTGCACACGCTTCCCCAGCTTGACGTTTGCTTACCGAAAGTGGCATTCTTTGAGGTCCCTAAAGCAAATGTTGACAACCTCGACTACTTCTTTATTCTAACAAAATCTTTTTTTACCCATAAATATCTTGAGTTTCAGGGGCAGGTGGATGTACGAGGGAAAAAATCAGGCGATCAGGGAGGACGCCGAAGGATGTAAAATTTAATTTCTGTTAATTGTTTTTGAGCGAATAGTTTCGAATGAACGGGTGGACTCTCGTGGTGAAACTACAGATTTTTTTTTTTTTTAGCATTCCAATGCGTTTTAGAGCGCAGGTCTTAGGCGCCCGTTTCCGGCTTAGCGGCGTCGCCATCGGTGTCGGCGTAACTGCGCGGTGCATTATGGGAAACATCCCATGATGCAACGCGCGGGTCTCACTCGTGACCCGCGCGTTGAGTAATGGGACGTTTCCCCATAGTGACGTCGCACGTGACGTCACGATTGACGGCACGAGGATCGAGTGCGCTGCATTATGGAGAACGCCCCATGATGCAACGCGCGGGTCTCACTCGTGACCCGCGCGTTGCATTATGAGACTTCCCATATTGACGTCACACGTGACGTCACGAGTGACGTCACGAGGGTCCCGCGGGTTGCATCATGGGACGTTTTTAATAATGACGTGACGTGTGACGTCACGAGGGTCCCGCGCGTTGCATCATAGGGACGTTTTTCATAATGACGTCACGCGTGAGGTCATGGTCACTCGTGAAGATCACAACAGAGGTATGCCTCGTCCTCCGTACCATCCCCTCCTCCTCCTCAAGAGCTGCGCTCTAATTCGGCATTACAGGGAGTTGTAAATGTCTAATTGTCTGCTTGTTTTAGCTCGTTCAGAATCGCTGCGTGGTATTAACCAGCGGTAGTCTTTCTTTTTCATAAGATTAGCAGAATTTCATTGGTATCCCTACAAAAACTGGTGCATTACCTTTTTAGCCGACTGAATTTTGCCTTCTTCGAAACCGGTTAACCCTATCCAATCAAGCGTTTACATTGATTTCTTATTTGTGATGTCTAGTGTTGAATAGGCGCGTACATCAGGGTGCATGCGGTTATTTGTGGCACGCAGAACTGCATGTTTTAGAAATTGACTCTCATCACAATGTCAGGTATGTCAATAACCTCTTGGGTCTCGAAAGCTACCATCCTCGTCCATAAGAACTACAAGATTTAAGCAAGTAGGAGAAAAATGGGAACCCAATTGGATTTACTGATATTTAATTACTATCAAGAGCAGTGAAAAAAATGACTGGGCGTCCGTGAAACACAATTGCCCGTGGTCGCAAAATAAACCTGGCGAAAGCGCACTTTGACCACGCGCACGACAGCAACGCTCGACGCCGTCGCTGTCAGAAAATCCAGCATATTTGACCGACCTCCTGGTCGCAGACGATAACAAATCTGTAACGCGAGACGACGCATTTGGTTCTCGCATAGTCGATAAAATACGTAAATTGCCACAAATAAGTGAGATCTCTAATCTAATACATATGAGCGTTTTCCTCCAGCTGCCTGATACACAAATGCTGGTCGTCACCGTGTACACTCTAAATGGGACTGAGTTCGCTTACGTCCGAAATGCGGATTCAGCCAGTCATGGCAAACGATGGAAGGATCCCGGCCAATGACGAAGCTTAAAATAGGATTAATCAAAGCAAAAAAGAAGGTTAGATGCATACTGGGGAAATGAGCATGATATTTCAGTTCCTGACTGTAAAATTAAACAAGATGCAATTTATTTGGCGTTTATTTTTACTACAAGATGGCGGGAGTACAGAAAGACCCTCCAAAATGTGGCTGAACATTAAACTTTGAATTCCCCCTCCTCCCCAATCAAAATCTCTCTTCATATCGCATCGTTCAAATCTAGTCGCGATCTAAGCTTCGTGATTCGCTAAGAACTCACTATAGTTTTTCTCGATTGACTGTGTCCGTGTTTAGCAGAAAATTGAGCCACCCAGAATTCTTTTAGAATGCACCTCACATTCACAAGACTCGGCACCGTGAACCCCCAGTTACCATTCCTCTAAAAATCAAATAGTTGCTTGGTTCATTTGCGCTAGTTTATTTAAATAAAAATGTAGCAATTAGCCTAGCAACTTACTTTACTATACAAATGCCGTTCAAAGTTGACCGTGAATTCTATTCCTACAGAAGCAATTAGGAATCCGACAAGCACGAAACAATGCCTGTGTTTGAAGGCTTTCCTATTGCACGTCTGGCACTACTGCCCTTCCTTCGGCAGCTTTCCGAGTCTTTTAGCGTAGAAATAACTGAACTGCGTAACTACTGTCGGATGAACGTGGCCGTGCAATATCTTCGTGACCGGCTGTCGTCCTTCACCAAACTGTTGACCTTATTCGCACTGTATATTATTTGTTCCCCATACTGTGCTGCAAACTTTTAAAAATGTTCTAGATGTAGCTTTTTTTTCACACAAAAAAAAGGAAGAACTGGTTATGCACCACAGATCCACCACTGCAGAATCAGCTCTCACCGCCATAAGAGCTAGAACTGCCGCGGATGCGTGCATTACGCGAGATATCAAAGAAGGCTTATGTTGATGTCCTCTACAATTTTCTTCATGCAGCACTTATTCAGCGATTTCATATGAACAAGAGTAGCGGATAATCTTTAACGACACTCGTAGATTCCCATTTCTCGGTTAGCGACATAGTGCCTGCGCGTGCGGACATCACTGAGGTGTCCATTGTGGCACCAACTCAATAGCTGAAACAAATATCTCTTTCTAGTGGGATCTGGTGTGCAGCAACGACTGGCAGCGCTCCTTGATGCAGAGCGTCGTCTTCCTCGGCTCCCTCGTGGGAGCACTAATCATAGGAAGGCTATCGGACAGGCGAGTCCCACTTCCACTTTTTTAGATAGACTGTAACCTTCTCCCATACGAATACCGTTTATAGCATTGGACGTAGGGGCATAAATATAATCTAGACTTAGAATGGTGTTCGACAAACCGCGTATTCGTTTTCTTTCCTTTTAATATCACCGATTATAAACTGTAAACAAGGGCTGCACTTTTTATCCCAGAAAATGGGCATGATAGTATTACACCTAGAACATTTCTTAGCTATCTGAAGATGATATTATATAATTATGAACGTGGGTGTTCATTCACTTTATTGAATATCAGTTTGAAAAGACAGGTGAGTATGTAATCACAAACGAAGTTTTAAGGTGGATTGTGTAAGCCTTACCGAGGCTAAGGTGCCTTTTATGGCGCGAAGGAGTGAGAGCAAGGATCCCAAGCTTGGTTCTAATGCACGAGTCCAGAAATCGTTAAAAATATACATCTTTAATATTCCACTGATTCCAAGTTTTTAGAACACATTATATGGGAGCTTCGTACTGAGTGTGTTTAACAAAACAAAACACAATGACGACAGGACAGGCGCTATTCTGAATGAACTAACTCGTCCAAACCCAAGTTTTAAAGCTCTATTCGGCGCATTCAATATGACTCGTGGAAATATTCGGTTCTTCCGAGTACCGTCGGACAAAAACAGTTAGTGAATTATTAAAAAATACTCTCACTCTTAGTAACACATTTCCGCAAAAAGGTAATCAAAAATGAAAGACGTTTACAAATCTCTGAAACGCGAAATAAGAGCGCAGCTCTTGAGGACGAGGAGGGGAGGGTACGGAAGGGAGTGTATGCCCCTCCTCTGCTAATCTTCTTCTCCCCCTCCACTCCCCCTCCACTCCTTTTTCTCCCCTCCTTCCCTTCTCCTCCTGCTTTTCTCATCTCCCTCCTTCTTCCATCCTCCTCACCCCTCCTCCTATTCCTTCTCCTCCTCCCCCTCCATACCCTCCCGTTCTCTCACAGTTTCCCCACTAAATTTATCTGAAAAATTGATGCCACGTGACCTCAACAGGAATTCAATTCCCCGCTAAATTTAGCGAAGAATTGAATTGCTGTTGAGGTCATGCGACGTCCATTTTCCCGCGACAACTACCGGAGAAACTGAATTCGTTTATAGGTGACTCGACATTAAGTCATGTGACGTCATTTCTCCCGCTAAATTTACCGGGGAAACAGAATTGGTGTTGAGGTCACGTGACGTCAAATTTCCCACCAAATTTAGCGGGGAATTGAATTGCTGTTGAGATCACGTGACGTCAATTTTTCCGGTAAATCTAGCGGAGACGCTTAATTTGTTCATAGGTGACGTGACACGAAGTAATGTGACGTCATTTTTCCCGCTAATTTTAGCGGTGAATTAACTTGGTGTTGAGGTCTCGTGACGCCGATTTTTGCACTAGATTTATCGCGGTTACGCCGACGCCGACGGCGACGCCAATGCCGCGAAACACTAAAATTAATGCCTACGAGCTGCGCTCTAAGAAAAATCTGAGAGCATTTACGCTATCCCCTAACATATGTCACAGTAATAGCAGCTCGACACTCGCGTAACTCGCCGTCATTGTGACGTCGTTGTTGTTTTCAGCGGCGGCTCCGGACCACGATTCTGAGGATTTTTTGCGCCAGTTTGCTTCCGCTCTCAATTCCACTTCCGTGCCTCATCCGCACTCTGTCCACGATGAGCATCCTCAGCCCGCCGTAACTGGTAGTCGCGTTATTAGGGAGTTTTCGTAGATCGTTTTCAAAGCCCCGCAACGGCGCTCCGCAACTCGCTACGATACCCAGAACTCTACTGTCAAGGCTATCGGCGCGCATGCGCAGCAGCGGCTTCTTTGTTGGGGAGGGCTTAGCGGAGGGGGAAACGCGGTCTACGAAAACTCCATATTCAGGCCGTCTACGAACTTCTCGGGGTCTATGCGGAGAGCAAGTCGTCTGCTTCTTGTGCAAGACTTGCGAGGACGTCAGAACGACGCCGAGCGCTGATTGACTTTGACTGAAAAGATAGGCATCAATGCTAGCTGCCCTGAGGTCTACCCACTATTTTGTTTTCTTTTCAATCAGCCAATAAGGGCTCGGCGCAGTGACATCGCGGCAACCCCGGTTCAAGAAGTAGACAAACTTCCGCTTCGCATACCATATAGCGAGCAGGTTTGTCTGCTTGCTGTATGACATATGCAGGCACAGCGGGGTGTTGACTCAATACCCTGCTGTAAGGCGCTGCACGATGTAATGGCGGTGGAGCTGACGCGAGCCAGGCGGCGCTCCATGGATTTACTATTGTTGACGAACGATGACGTCATCCGTAGGCTTTGTCAACTAGGTGTCTTCTTTCTAAGTCCTTAAGCACTGAAACTGCGTTTTGACCCCTCCCCTCAAGCGGTTTTATGTTTGCTCGTTACAAAGAGCACGCCCTCGGTTCTTTTCCTGGTTGGCAGGTTCGGGCGACGCTTCATGTTCTTCACGGCGACCTTCGTGTACATCGGGTTCGGCTGCGCGGCGGCAGCGTCTCCTTCAGCATCCTGGTACAACAGCCTGCGGTTCTTCGCGTCCGTCTGCATCGCCGGCATTCAGACGACCGCCGCAGCTCTATGTGAGTTCCCCCTTTCCCCCCCCACATACAGATACGCAAAAACAAAATACACTCTTTTGTTGTAGTATAGAACACTTGGCGAGTCCGTGGACTGTAGACACAGCGAAAGAAACGGGTCGCGAAGACGAAGGCACAGAACACGAGAAGGGAAGGCAAACAGCGCTCTTACGTGTCTTACTTGTTTCTTTTCTGTATCTTCACCCTTGTGCGCCGTTTTCCCCATTATGCCTACATTTCTGGTCGCCCGGAAAAGATCAGGAAAAAGACCGTAGTCCTCTCTAGACCGAAACAAGCGTTTAGTGACCCCCTATAAACAACATTAAAATAGTAAAACATCATATCGTATGGAGGCGCTTGCTTGAAGTTAATCAATCTTCAACCGTTACGTGGTTGTACAAGCGCGACGGATTACAACTCATGTATGTAATGGACAACCTTTCTCCCACACGTAGAAGAATATCTACAATTAGATAAGCAAGTGTAGACTCCCCCTATGTTTTATTTGATTTTTTAAAGTTTATGTTTTAACTCTACGAAGTTTTATTTAGACGAATTATGCCTTCGCAGAACTTTTAAATTACGAAAGACTCTATGCTTCTAGAATATCTTGAATATTTATATAGCGCAGAGTCGGTCCCTCTTTTAGACATGACGAACTGGTGCAGCACTGCATAGGAACAATTGAGTCAGTGCGGCACCACCGCTGATCTACGGTGTCTTTAACGAACATCACTCGATAGTTATTACAGAACCGACCGCTTGTGCCGCGCTCTTCCATACAGAAACATGCAAGATCGGGGATCCAACCGACCGAACTGCTAGTCTCTTCGCCAACAGACGCTGCGAAACGTGTCATATTCCGAAACCATGTTTTGTAAGGCACCCGAGATAAGCGCTCAATGTTTCTAACCGAAACAAACAATTGCAATGGAGCTTCAGTAAATTCCAATGACTTAGATGATTGGGCGAGTTGGTGCATCATTACAATAGCTAACGGTGCAACGACACGACTAGAGTAAAACAGGACAGAGAAATACCTGTGCCGACTTATAGCTGCATGCATCTGTTATGCCCGAGTCCAACTAGAACGACAGACAGAAACAAACGACAGCGACAAGCCTTAAACACACGCAGCATGTCTTTGGCAGGCGTTTATCGTCGTTTGGTGCTCGTGAAGTACCTGGACGGCTCTACACGCTACCCCGATAAGTTTTGTATATGGATACACTAGTCTAGGGTGGTGTGCACGCCAAAACAGACTAAGCTCGACTGATTGGACATCGGAATGCACTAGCTGGTGTACTGTGCAGACCAAACATACTAAGTTGGCCTAAGGAGCACACCAGGACACAATGGTCTAATGCGGGTGCACACCAAAACACATAAGGCTGATACAGGTACACAAGAGGACAGATTATGGAAGTCCGGTATTCACACCAGGAAACACCAGAACGCACCACACCGGTCTGTTTCATTATTTTACTTTGTGGAGAAATGAAACAAGATCATGTACAGCCGGAAGCAGAAGTTTGGGGCGCGCGGGAGCGCCAGCCGAAATTCTTGTTGCGCCTTCTGACGGCTCGCGGCCGCTCTCAAGATTCACGCTTTGAGAATGCGCTTCTTTTCGTGCTCGGTTTGATGTCTCGTTTATTCGCTTCCGTCAGACGCACTCTATAGATAACCTGGACCGGCGCAAAGTGCCGCTTTGTCAGCCGTCATGCCGCGCGTCTGCCTCAGCCACCGTGATGGGTGTCGGAGCTCGCACGCGACGGATAACATTTCGCGTGACTTTGCACCGGTTCCTCTCATATCGGGGGCATCGGACGGAATGGAGCTAAAGAAAAAAAAATGACTGCGAACACGAAAGGAAGCGCATGCGCAAGGTGCGTGCCTGGAGAGCGGCAACGCGCCGCGCCGTCAGGAAGCGCTGTCAGTGGGGAGTTTTATAGCCCCTTCCCCTGGCAAATGCCGAGCGCTCCTCTCCAGCGGTCGTCGAGTGGTCGGCCTCCGTGAGCGATCGGTCACGCGATCCATCCCAGTGGCACGCGCTGCGGTGCAAATCGAGCGTAACGCTCCCAGCGCCACCGCTTCCAGAGCGTCTGCTCTCGCTTCTGAACAGTTGCGGTTCCCATTGCTACCTTGCTAAAAGCATAAAGTTCCAGAACTTTATGCTTTCACAAAAAATTGATTGTTTACTACTTGATTAACGGCGACCCCGACGTTAAGACACAATTTATATTTACTTACAGTTATATAAGCCCGATGAAGACCACAAGAAGTACTTGTACGAGCCGTAGGATGCTATTACGCAGTACCAAACACGTATGCCGTAAAGCGATCGTCATCTCCGAAGGCGACTTCCATCTGCGGAGTATTTGGCGTGTTGTCTTCTAAATATTCCAATTACATTAAAGAGACCACAAAACGAGAAAACGACATACCTAGCCCTTCATCCGAATAGGCGTGCACAACGCCTTCGACGTAACGCGGTATCTTGGGCCTCTTCGCTGGCCATCCAAACGACTCGGCAAACACTTCGCCGAGAACGGCTGTCTCGACGTCACTCGAGCTGGAGCTAAGCTGGTATCTTCCTCGCTGTCACTGCGTTTATTATACCTCCTGAAACTAACAGCAACGATGTCATCGCCGCAGTTTGCTTGGGCGAGTCGGTCATGACAAGGGGAACGAAAACAAGCACACCAAGAGAGCCCAACAAAAAAGCCGCGAAACTCCTTCACTCCCCCGCGGGAATGTCGATAACGAAACTGAAACGTTGCGAGAGACGACGACAGATCGTACTCCTCCGAAAAGGGCTGCGCGGAGAACTACTCCGGACCGCTCGACGCGCTCCGCCACTTTTCCACGGAGGATCTACAAGCGGCACACGGAGAGATCGCTCTCATCTCGCGAGGGAAACAAGAATCCGCTCGGCGAGCGCGCGCCGAGCGCTCGCTATTTGCCAGAAGAGGCTATTAGTAGACCGTGTTTCCCGCTCCGCTAGCCCTCCGCTACGAAGAAGCCGCCACTGCGCCTGCGCGCCGATGGCCTTGGCTGTAGAGTTCCGGGTAGCGGAGGGGCTTAGCGGAGCGGGAAACACGGTCTACTAAAACTCGCTATTCTTTTCAGCTGGCGCTCCCGTGCCCCACAAGCTTTTGCCGCCGACTGTACCTGTTATAATTTATTTTGAGAGAAATCACGGCACACTGTGATGGGTGGATTAACACACGCCAGGCATAGCACGATGCTATTGATAGGTACCATATGTCTCGGCTGCATCGCAAACCGACAGATATCGGAATTCTCAATTGCATTGCTCCATAAGTGCGTCAGTCGGCCTCTAGAATATTTTGCGTACTGTTCCCTTGGGCATCACACCACTCAACACAAATCCGATAACGTGGCTTTCTATGCTCAAATTATAGGGGTGAACACACCGCCGCACATTGAAGAATCAGAGAGGGGCGTTATGTACAGCACAGTTATAAAAAATGATGAACGGCACAACCACGGTTTCTTCTGAACGCGAGAGAGGTGGCGACGAATGCGTCAGTGCAAAGCCACCAAAAGAGGCACCAGGTGGGATTTCAAGACTGGGACGACGACTCCGACCCGGACCTTAATGAAAGTGGGTTACACAGCCAACTAAATGCCGGCGAGTAGTTTGAAAACATCGGTAACCTGCTGAAATGATGCAAGTTTTAGAGCAAAAATATTTCACGTCTTTTTTTTTTATTGCCAAGAAGGTTCTATGTGTTCCAGATTCATTAAATAACATTTTCTTCTTGTACAAAAACGTTAGCTTTTATATCCACATATAAAATATTTGGGTCACTTTTATTTGGTTCCCTTTCTCCCTAGAAATTCTGGAGAATAAGTAAACACAATATTTTTTTAAGTGTTTTGCCCCGAAAGAAATACTGTTTACTTGTACAAAACTATTTGTGAATAAACTCAGTGTGTAAATAGTTAATCTGACTTGTGTTAATGCCGTTCAGCTCGAATAAAAGGTTAAGAGGCGCGAACTGAAACAGGACAAAAAACACACGCGTAAGACACAGACAAGCACCAACATCCAACTGATTTAATGTAACACAAAACATTAAATCAGTTGGAAGTTGGTGCTTGTCCGCGTCGTATCGGTTTTTGTTTCGATCAGTTTCAGTTCACTCATTCTAACCTTTTAATCGGTTGTTACCAACTAGCCCCAACCAAAGCTTTATCGTTCGGCTCGTATTGTCGATAAGAAATCGAGGTGGGAATTGTAGTTTTAGAGCGCAGCTCTTAGGCGCCGTTTCCGGCTCGAGCGGCGTCGGCGTCGCCGTCGCCGTCGGCGTAACCGCGCGGTGCATTATGGGTAAATTTTTCCGAAGGAACCCGAGGTCCTCCCGAGGGACCTCGGGTTCCTTCGGGACCCGAGGGACCCGAGGTCCTTCCGAGGTCCTCCCGAAGGACCTCGGGTTCCTTCGGGAGGACCTCGGAAGGACCTCGGGTTCCTTCGGGAGGGCCTCGGGAGGACCTCGGGCTCCTTCGGGAGGACCTCGGGAGGACCTCGGGTTCCTTCGGGAGGACCCAGGGGGGGGGGGGTCACTTGGCGATGACGTCATCAGTGACGATGACGATGACGATGCGGATGCCGATGACGTCATCAGTGACGTCACTGATGACGTCATCAGTGACGATGACGATGGCGATGCGGATGCCAATGACTTCATCGGCATCCGCATCGTCATCGTCATCGTCACTGATGACGTCATCGTCACGTGACCCCCCCCCCCAGGACCTCGGGTTCCTTCGGGAGGACCTCGGAAGCACCTCGGGTTTCTTCGGGAGGACCTCGGAAGGACCTCGGGTTCCTTCGGGAGGACCTCGGAAGGACCTCGGGTTCCTTCGGGAGGACCTCGGGTTCCTTCGGGAGAACCTCGGGTTCCTTCGGGAGGACCTAGGGGGCGGGTTACGTGACCTGGGGGTCACGTGACGATGACGTCATCAGTGATGATGAC